GACGAAATAGCGGAGGCTGTCAGAATTTCGCAGCTCGAAAGACTTAGCCGAACAACCACGGGCAGAGCTATCCTCGAGTTGGTAGTCCCACAAACAGATAGGGGACTACGAGTCAAGTCAAGCATTCCGCAGGACTGCCGAGAAAACCTAATCATCCCCCCCTTCCCTCGTCACATGCATCCCATATTCAACACGGAGAGGAGGGAGAAGAGAGCAGAAGCACTAATCAGACGCTTCGATTTAATGGACAGCAAGTCGGTTGCGTATGTGGACGCGGCAAGTGGCAAGTCGGGTGCGGCGGTCGCCCCGGTGGTTGACGGCCGAGGTGCTCCCGTATCGGCCGCCACCATTAGAAGCCGCAACGCAGAAACGGCTGAAGAAGTTGCGATAGCGCTCGCTTGCGTTGGAACGAAAGCCAATTTCATTATTAGCGATAGCAAAACGGCGATCTGGAATTTTGGGAAGGGTAGGATCTCGCCGGAAGCGGCAAGGATTCTTACCGGTAGACAGCTAAACAGAAAAATTAGCCTAATTTGGACCCCCGCACACACGTCCGTTCCTGGCAACGAGGCAGCCCACGAGTTAGCCCGAGCTTTCTACTTCCGGGTAGATGTGGAGCCACCCGACTGCCGGAACATGGACGAGCGTCTGCAAACTTATACGGAGATTGTCGAAAATCATAGATTACAAAGGAAACAGGTGCCACCACCAGACGAAAGTCTAAGCAATAGGGAGGCAGTCGCATGGCGGCGCCTGCAAGCTGGGAACTTCATAAACCCAGTCTGGGCATACCATGTTCGGATAGATGACAGACAACACGATAAGTGCAAGCACTGTGGGGCGAGAGGGACCCTTGACCACATAATCTGGGAATGTGCTAACTCCCCAGGGGCTAAAGCAAATATAAATTGTGGAGAAGCCTGGGAAGCCCTGCTGCGGAGCGAGGTCCCTGCTCCACAGCAGCAAGCCATCCGCCTGGCGGAAGAAGCCGCGAAGAGCCAAGACCTCTTTGCCTGCTTCTAACCGCGGAGGTCCCTGGCCCCGTATCCTAGACCTGCGTGCTGGGGACGAGGACTAGGTGTCTCCTCATCTGGTGGAACATTAAAGTTGTTATCTATCTATCTATCACTGCCGGAGCGCCGTGTGCAAAAGGTGCATTTCGTAATTCATGTGTGCTCGTTGTGTGCTTCGTGCGATGGACTGTGAGGTGACTGCGTCTATATCTACGGCCTCGACGTCGGCAGCAGCGTCCACATCTACGGCGGCTTCCGCAGGCAAATGTGGCCGCCCACGCACATACGCCGCAGCCTCTTTAAATGTCCTTCCCTAGGCGTCGCTCTCGACATCGCCCATTAGGTCGTCCTCGACGTCGTCCTTGCTGTCCTAGACGCCTTACTTGGCGTGTATCTCTAGGACGTCGTTCTCGACGGCGTCCGAAACTTTAATACGTGTAGAAACCTTACTCGAAAACCTTTCTCCCGCGGGAGGTGTACCTGTTGAAAGGTTTTCGCCTTCCTACAAAAGCTAGTCCAAGCGCACTCCTCCTCTCTACGACAGCGCTATAGAAAATAACCTTTTTATTTCTCTTTAGTACTTGTATTTACAAAGAAGAAAAAAAATGTGTACAGCTTTTTAACACAGTCCTTTTGATCATGCTCTTAAAGGCAAGTTCCTCTTTCCTCCCCCTTACATTTCTTCTTGCATTAAGTGGAAGCGGCTGGCATGGGGCCAACACATCCATCGTGCCATTACATCCATCAAGAAAGTACATCCAGTTGACCTTTTTCGGAGAATTTTGTGCGCATGCCCGAACTTGAGGAGAGAATAGGAAAGGGAAAGGAGTCATCTTTACGGGCTCTCCTCGTACGCTGCCTGGCTTCGCTCGCATTGCTAGGCGCGTCTGTCCGGCACTGTCGCGATGCCTCACCACTGCTCGGCTGTTGGATGTACAAACAGCAAGAAAAACACGCCGAACGTGAGCTTCTTTAGATTCCCGAAAGCTACCGCGCACCTCAAAAAGAGAGAAAAGTGGATTCAAGCGCTGCGACGTGAGAACTCCGACGGGACGCCTTGGCAGCCATCTGCGAACTCGCGTGTTTGCAGCATCCACTTCATTGGAGGTTAGTTCATTCATATTTGTTTGAACTCAGGATATACCTGTCATACTCCGTGCAGGCTAGTCATTCATAACAAGGTTTTTGTTCCCGATTTTTACGACGCAGGGGTATCTTCACGAGACCAGAATCACCCAGACTTCGCTCCCTCCTTGTTTACATAGAAGCCGACACCTGCCTCCGCACCGAGTTTGCTTGCACGGTACAGCAGGGCAGCGAAGAGGCGGGACACCAAGCCGTTGTCACGGAAAACAGATCTTTACACTGTCGCACAGTGTAAAGAGCAGGCCAGCAATGTGCTGGCATGTTCCGCTTAACCTGCAAAGTATATATTTACGCTTGAAACTCATCAAAATATTGAATAAAAAGATGTCCTACTACAGAATTTTATATCAACACGTCACCTAGCTCGATAAGTAGATCGATGACATAGCTTGGCCCTTTTTAGTTGCATGCTGAAGTACCACAAAAAAGACGAAAACAACAAATCTTGTTTTTTTTTTTTTTTTTTTTTTTTTTAGATAACTTATCGCGTCACGCATAAAATATGATCAAAGGACTGGCACACAAGGATCTTGATACAAATCTGCCGAAAGGATAGCGACTATGGGGCTCACGCCTAACAAATATGACACATCTTGTAATCCTTAAGACACATTATTACATCGCCACGGGTTTTACCGAAGAAATAAACTCGCACTGCAACGCAGTCGCAACACGCTTGAACGATATCGGCGCTTTTGGAAAGCGATATCAGTTACCTGTAATGTCCCGGCTTCATAGACGGTGCCACGTGCTCCTTACAAGGTGAAAGGTGTGGTCGGGATCAAAGTTGTTCATCATGACCTTCTTGACGTAGGCTTCTCTGAAAGCCCATCCTTTCCGGAGTTGTCTGCAGTCCTTCGCCAAGTACCGATCGACGTACGCTGTGTTGACGACCGGTACCGATGCAGCATCGGTACTCCATCAGCCTTCAAAGGCGTACAGACGGATAAAGTACGAAGTGTCGAAGACGGTTGCTTTACTCGATCCTCCGGGATCGTCATCAGCCATTTGTAGAGAACGACAGCCGGAAAACAGCGAGAAAAACTTTCCACAACGAACGCACCAAAACGATCGCGTCTAGGAAGCGAACGGGGTGACGGGAGGACGGACTGAGCTGACTGAGCCCGCAAACGTTTTGAATTATCTCCACGAGGATGCGCCACGGTCGCTTCAACGAACCCTGAAAAAGGTGAATTTAGTGTGATTACATCCATCGTGCCCGTACATCCATAGTGACAGCACATCCATCGTGCCATTACATCCATATTTGGGCAATTCATCCAACGTGTCGTTAAATCCAACATGCTGTTACAACCATCGTGTCATTACATCCACCGCGCCATCACATCCATCGAGATACTTTGCCCAAAAGCGTGTCTTCACATCCATCGTGCAGCTTCGTCCAAAAACGTGCCATGACATCCATCATTCACGCAAGTTTATTTCTTCGTTTAACTATGCTGTACGACGGTTCACATCACATTGAAGAGTCATACTCTAAATTGAATGTACTACACCGAGTAAAATGACCCTCCTTGCGTCATGCACTTTCTGCGGCCCTCGGCGTCTCCGAAGTCGAACACACATCGTCGTCCCGTTGTTTGTTTTTTCCACACTGATCAAATTTTAGTTACTGCTTTTTTCACCCTCAAAATCCACTAAGTATTAACATTATTATAGAATTACGACGGTGCACAGAATCACACGTTTTATATCGCCTGAGAAAAAAAATCTGAATGTCTTGTAGAATTTAATTGCGATACAGTAACCTTCTGGGGCTTATGGTTTGTTTTCTGTGGCTCCCAAACCAATGCGGAGCTCAAGATCGTCTGCTTCTTTTGCAGCCGTTGCGGTGACGTCAGAAAGACGCCGAGCCCTGATTGGCTCTGATTGAAGGACAGTTGGCACACCTCAAAGCAAGCTGCCTTGAGGTCTACCAACTATCCGTCATCCAGAACCAGCCAGAGCTCGGCGTTCTGACGCAACCACAACCACCGCACCACCCTGCAAAAGAAGCAGACAAACTTGGCTTCCGCAAAAGAATGTGAATAACGCAAAAAGCCCAATGGCGGCCATATTGGCTTCTATGGATGTACTAGCACGATGGACGTAATGGCACGCTAGGCGTCGTAACAGGAAGGATGAGAAATCACATCTATTGAACAACTACGTCCATCGAGTAACTACATCCAACAGGTAACTACAGCCATCGAGCAGCTATATCCATACACATGTCAACGCATCCAACGCGTTAGTACATCCACCGTGTCATTACATCCATCGATGGATGTTATGGCTCGATGGATGTACTGGCTTGATGGATGTGTTAACACGTAATCGAAGCGGCTTCGGCCCTCTTCAATGGCAATAGTCAGCGACTTAAAAAAAAATAATTAGGCTTTTTTTATCGATGCAAATTTTTCTATAGAGCAAGGGATAATGTAGGTTCTGTTCAGAGAAACTGGTAGTTTGCAAAATCACACTGGGAGAACACGCGCAAACAAACAATTATGTAAAAACATTTACATGGGCAAACAAGTTGAGGGAAACCTAGGCTGGTTTCATAACAGGTCATTGTTTTATTTTTGTTATATTTTTGCATTTTACCATTTTCCTGAGGGTATTGGAACTAATTGAATTAATAAATTGCTAAAACTGAAAACCGATGAACGAGATATTTCAAAACTGCACCAAAGACTCGTTGTACACGTGGGCTTCGGTCAATAATGAGTTAAATCTCACAACACAGTTTAATGATCATAATAAAGGAAAGCGATTGTAGTGCTCAGGTGGACGCGTTTTCGACTGCCCAGAAAGCGGGGTGCCACTTACACAGGGAGCAACTTCAACCTTGTTGGTCGATTATTGTGTGGCTACAGGTCCCTGCTCCTGGCTAGCTTGATAGTGCAGAACCCCACCGGCCACTTCTTTGAGCCATGCTTTACAATGTTGCTGAGAACAGCCAACGCCTCGGACTCGGTCAAGATGTTCCACGCAGCTGGACCTTCGACGAACTCTAGACGGGACAACGTCAGGAATCTAAGCTCTGGCAGGAATGGCCTCATGGTCCATTGGAGGACGGTGTTGGAAGGTACGCCAGTCTCCGTTCCACAATGCGCAATCGCCCATGCGTAGACACTCTTGATAACGTCGTATTCCTTGACGCGCAGCCCTGGGTTCTTCAGTATTCTGAGGACGGTTTCCTTCGACGCGGCGATGAACGCCTTCGACTCCAGGACTTGAAGACCCCTCATTTCCAGAAGCTCGTTGATAATGTCGTTGAAGTTTGCGAGGCTGCCGTTCTTTGCGGCGTATTCTAAGACGTCACACACGTCGGTTGACTGCATCGAATTTCGAATGAACCTGTCACATGCTTCCACGAGCTCAGACTCCATGTACTTCTGGGCGGCTGCTCGTGTGTGCAATGCTTGCTTGACGTTGACAAATATGGCTTCCTTTCTGTAGAGGTACCTAGAACGAAAGTGAATCGAATGACGTGGTAAGAGGAAACGAAGGTGATGAGCTTAATAATGGTCATGCCATATATCATTCGGAAGGTACCCAGAATTGCTGCTGGGCGAGCGACTGATTCATTGATGGAGATAAATGTTTATAAACAAGTCCGCGTTTGCCCACAACAGGTGTGGGCATTGCGCTCGCGCAGAAACCACATTAGCGTGAAGGGAAAGCGTTTGCTCAGGCACCGACAGCAGCGCTAGCTACTGCACTGACGCGACATCATGGCCGCGTGTTTACTGTGCAGCGTGTAAACTAACGATTTTTAAGGGCAATCCGGTTCATTTTACATGTGAAGAATACCATGCCATTCTCTTCAGTACCGCCTAAAAAGACCCTATACTCGGTTTCACCTTACGTTCTACCGCTGCGAAGGCTAGGAGCTGCCCGGACACTGGCAGGTTATTTATGCTCGCCAGGGTTTTTATTTGTACACTACACATGAAAAGCCCAACTACTCAGAACACGAGTGGCGGCTCGAAATTCGTTTTCTTTCCCTTCAAAAACCGCCGGTCGAGAACTGGCCGGTATGAGTCGCGCTCGATCACTCTCTTCTCCGTGGTCATGTGCCGTTCTCTGTGGTATAGACACAATCACCAAATATGCTTAGGCCATATCCTTTCCCGTTTTAACCGAAAAACACCGATAAACGCCCGCTGGTGTCGAAAATTAAAAAAAATATCAGTTAAAAACCAAGAAAAATACCGGTTTTTAAATATTTTTGTACAATATATATATATATATATTTTTTACAGCAAGTTTTTTTGCAAACAAGGGGTCTCAAACACGCGGCACGCAGGCCCAACTGGCTACGGGTCCCAGTTCCCACATCTCGAGCGCTAGAAATGGCATGCGCCATAGATATCTCATCTTGTCTATTCATTTCCGCTCGAAAAGTAGCTCTGCTCTTTTAACGTATTCACCTAGTTTATACTTGTCTCTGCTCATTTTCCCTTTGTTTCGCCTTGTCTTTTGATTCCAAGCTTTTTGTAATGTACAACAACTCCGCGAACCCTCCATCAGCAGGAGCAACTCCCATAGATCAGGCTACGAGCTCTGGATTTTCACCTTCAGAAAAATATCGCCATTAAAGGACAAGTATTTGTTCAGAGTGTTGTAATCAAAATCGCAATGAAAGCAAGAACTATCAAATTAACCGATTGTGTTTAGAGACATGTCGAGCTTGTTTAATTCCCGAGTGAATTAAGCAACGGGAAATAAAATATTTACACTCTTGTTCTATTACCAATGACAGAACGCTGGCAGGGCAGTGTCATTTTAATTATTGTTAGCACGTCAAGTCAGAGCCCAAAGTAGTGATATGAACAAATAAAATCTAAAGATATCACAGGCAAAACTGCGAGTTTACAAAAAGAATAGAGCAAGAGGTCTCTTCTCTCTCTCCTTCCGTCTTACGTTGACCCCTGACCTTTCCGGTGTGGGCTATCTGGTCTCAATACACAAACGACTTTGAGCCCGTTGATGTCAACGTTCGTAAAGCACTTTTTTTTTTTTTTTATGGGTTTTTTAGTAATCGAGGTGTGTTTTTTCTGTCAGTGCTGGTTTGTTCGACCTTTAGTTTTTGTCCCCTAAAGTTTGGCACAGGCGGCGTGCGAGTTTTTCGTCTGCTTCGCACGGAGCAGAGTGGAGGCAAAGGCAGCTTTAGGTCTACCCTCTAATTCTACCAATAAGAGCTCGGCGTTCTGACGCCTACGCGCTGTCCCAGCTCCTCCTCTCCCTCAGTTGCTCAGCGCATAGGATTCCGTGTTTTCGAAATTTATTTCTTGTAAACTTAGGCGAGTTTCTTTCTTTTTTTTTTTTAGTATATACTGTAGCAAAAAGTTTGTGTTTATCTGAATTTCTTTCCCAATTTTTTTCTGAAATTCGGAGCCTCATTTTGCTCCATTCCCCATTTTCTCAGATTAAAAGAAAAAAAAGAAGAAAAGTATCCGGACTTTTAGTGTTTTTGACACTTGCAAACAACGTTCCCTCACTAAACGCTAATCCCTCAAAAAAAAAAAAAAAAAGTTGACAAGTTTTGAATGTTGATGATGGGCCACTCATTATCGTTAAAATAAACATTCTACAAATTGACTGGGCAAACAGTTCATCTTGATGGAAATAAAACAATCCTCACGGCTCAGCGAGGGCAGTAAAAGTGCGGACAGACCTCGGAATTTTATCCTAAAAGCGGCAAACGGCCCAAGAAAAGCACTAACGGTAAACGGATTTGTGCGGGTACCAACATGGCCTGGCACACGAGTATGTGCGTGGACAGATGATGCATCCGGGTAGATACATTTGTAAGAGGATTAGGATTGTTAGCATAAGGAGTATTATCGTTTACTCGAGGAAAGCAGAAAATCCATCCGGATGCAAGTCGGTGACCCGAACTTGGTCCTTCTCGGGCAGATTTCCGTAGAACATGGTTTCGAAGACCTCGTTGCGCATGGCGAGAACCATCTTGTGGGCCTTGAAGCTCTTGGGCGGGTCGGAGCCATGCTCCACCAGGAACTCAACGTCGGTGTGCCTGCCCTTCGTGAAGAAGCGGAGGTCGTCTCTCTTTGGTACGCCGAACGTGAATGGCTTCGCCATCTGAAACGACATGTGCAGCCACATTCGAGTTACAAATGCGCACGTAGCCCCGTTCCACATCCTCCACCAGCCAGTGTTCCTTTGCAATGAGCAATTAATTGGCTACCGAGGCGCACGTTTCGCTGACGTGAGTGGGGACCGGTGCTTATACTGCTCACACCTAGATAAAGGCCCATTCACACGATGCATTTTTCTCGCGCATCTAGTGTCGCGAAACGTAGTTTCGCGAAATGGTTGCGCCGTCTGAACGAGTCCGAAAAGGACGCGCGCATCTAAAAAAAGTTGCGCGCACACCTCGCTTCTGGAGCGAGCTTTTGCTGAAACTTTGCCGAGTCCTGTCAATCACTCTGAGGGCGCCGCCAATGGCCGCTCAGAAACGCTCTCACGTGGCCTTTGAGGGGGGAGCGAGCTGTTTGAGAAGACCACTTCACTGCCGGTGTTGTAGCCGAGCCAAATCCGAAAAATACCGAAACCACGAACGATGGGTACTGCCGGCGCTTCCGCAAGCACGTCAAACACCACTGAAGGAAAAGTGAGTAGCATATCGGAAAAAAATCCAGCGATGGACGAAGACGTAATTGGTGATGATGATAATTCGCGTCTATTTTTAGTCATAATTAAGAAATAAAACCTTGAGACAAGGAAACAAAAAGGGACGTACACAGTACCGTCTCAAAACCAGCACAGCGTACAGCTCTCATTTACTTCCACAACAGTCTTCTTCTTTGTCAACCTCCATCCAAATGATACATATTCAACAGTAAATAAAGTAAATGGCAGTAAATGACAATTCAACAACTAGTAAATGACAATTTAAGAGTAAATTAAGTAAATGGAAGTAAATGACAGCTGTATGCTGTGCTGTTTTAAGACGGTGGTGTGTTTGTCCCTTTTTGTTTTCTTGTCTTAAGGTTTTATTTCTTAATTATGATTGTTCACCACGGTTAACTCAGCTTTAACTGCGGTTACATGGCAGCACAGATGCCGCACTATACCCTCGGACAGCTATTTCAAAAGAAGTGAAGAGAGCGCGTGCACTGCTTTGGTGGGTGCTCAAGATGCTCAAGCGCACGTTCGCCCATAGCTCTGACTGCATCGCCGCAGAATGCTGTCGGCAAGTATTGTGCGCTAATTGTGGTTTAGCGTAACTGCAGTTAAGTATGCCCGTGACACGGGCACCCTTAACCGTGGTTAACTCAGCTTTAACTGCTGTTACGTGGCACCGCAATTACCGCACTATACTCTCGGACAGCTATTTCAGAAGAAGTGAAGAGCGCGCGTGCACTGCTTCAATGGGTGCTCAAGATGCTCAAGCGCACGTTCGCCCATATATCTTTGATTGCATAGCCGCAGAATGTTCTCTGCAAGTATTGTGCCCTAACTGTGGCTTAGCTTAACTGCAGTTAAGTGCGCCCGTGTAACAATGGTATTACAGGGGTATTAGAATGTGGCGGGAGATGGAGAACACGACGCTGTATGGCTAATGGTGATGATGATCATGTTGGCTTTCAACTGAAGCGCCACTTTATGGTCAACACCCAAACTGTTTTCGCGAGTCAAAACGTCATCGTTGTTGCACGTGAAGCGGTACGTGTGAACGAGCACATTTCGCAAAACTTGAGTGTCGCGAAACTGTTGCGCGCCTAAAAGATGCATCGTGTGAACAGACCTTAAGACAGGCTAAACGCAGAGGAAGCACATCTTAAGGCCCGTTCACACGATGCATCTTTCTAGCGCATCTAGTGTCGCGAAACGTAGTTTCGAGAAATGGTCGCGCCGTCTGAACGAGTCCGAAAAGGACGCGCGCATCTAAAAAACGTTGCGCGCACACCTCGCTTATGGAGCCTAGCTTTTGCTGAAACTTTGCCGAATCCTGTCAATCACTCTAAGGGCGCCGCCAATGGCCGCTCAGAAACGCTCCCACGTGGCCTTTGAGGGGGAAGCGAGCTGTTTGAGAAGACCACTTCACTGCCGGTGTTGTAGCCGAGCCAAATTCAAAAAACCGAAACCACGAACGATGGAAACTGCCGGCGCTTCCGCAAGCACGTCAAGCACCACTGAAGGAAAAATGAGTAGCATATCGGAAACAAATCCAGCGATGGACGAAGACGTAATTGGTGATGATGATAATTCGCGTCTATTTTTAGTCATAATTAAGAAATGAAACCTTGAGACAAGGAAACAAAAAGGGACGTACACAGTACCGTCTCAATACCAGCACAGCGTACAGCTCTCATTTACTTTCACAACAGTCTTCTTCTTTGTCAACCTCCATCCAAATTATACATATTCAATAGTAAACAAAGTAAATGGCAGTAAATGACAATTCAACAACTATTAAATGACAATTTAAGAGTAAATTAAGGAAATGGAAATAAATGACAGCTGTATCCTGTGCTGGTTTTAAGACCGTGCACGTGTATATGTCCATTTTTGTTTCCTTGTCTTAAGGTTTTATTTCTTAATTATGATTGTTCACCAGCTCGCCTGCGTTTTGACTCTGAGAATGTGGCGGGAGATGGAGAACACGACGCTGAATGGCTAATGGTGATGATGATGATGTTGGTTTCAACTGAAGCGCCACTTTATGGCCAACACTCAAACTATTTTCGCGAGTCTAAACGTCATCGTTGTTGCACGTGAAGCGGTACGTGTGAACGAGCACATTTCGCGAAACTTGAGTGTCGCGAAACTGTTGCGCGCCTAAAAGATGCATCGTGTGAACAGACCATTAATCGAAGCAGGTGCAGCTAGTTTGCCTACATGTCTGTGTCTCAGGGTGAAGACATCCACTGTTGCCCTGAATGTGCCAGCGCGCGACGCTCTGGCGCACTCGGTACGTGACTTGGGCGGTAAAATGGCGTCCTATGCATTAGCCAAAGCCACGCGCTCGAGCTGAGTGACACCAGATTGCGCGCACTTCAGAATGCATAAAAAGCGATTGGGCGGAAAAATAGCTGAGATGTCACCATTCAAGCAAAAGCGCGTGTGTATGAAGGCACTCAGGGGCAGCATTCGAGGGATCCCCTATATCGCGAGCTCTGGGCCGCGCCAACGTCTTTTCTTCCACAAGCGTATACATCAGAATCAGAATCAGTTTATTTTTGTCACAGCGCTTTTAACACACATCTGACAAGGGGGCCAGGAAGAAAAGCTGCAAGTTTGCAGCTTGACATGTCACGTGACACGCCATGGATAGAATCCATAGCCTCCTCTATACTGACAAAGCCTGGCAGATCGCCACGAGACGCGGCCGCCGAAAGTGAAAATGGTAGTGCGGCTGACAAGAGGCTAAAGCCCCTCTGTCCTGGGAAAAGTGGCGCCATTCATTGTAGAAATTCTCGAGGCACGTGACGCGCGCCACTTTTGGGAAATTCATGGCGTCTGAAATCTAGCTCAATGCTGCGCTGTGCCACCATGATCTTCCCAAGGGCTGCACGTTGCACGTGCCTCGTGCATCGACGAACCTTGCGCTACTTTTGAAACATGAAGGGGCTTTAAAGGGGTACTCCACCGATTTTTTGAGCTACCTCAACTAACTATATTTTCTGACTCCCCGGTTTTTACTCTCTCCGGTATGCTATTTAGAATCGCGAAATTCATAATAGTTATTGCGAAATCGGCAAATGAAAATTATGCAAAAACCAACATTCAAATATACGCGCGCTTTTCAGGGCCGTGACGTCAGTGGCAGGCAGGCTTGCCAGTCGAGCAAGCAGCCAAAAAATAGAATATGCCAATCATTTTTTCCGTGCTGGAGCGCGGGTACTGCAGCGAGCTTCCCAAGCATTCATTTGACACCATGAAACTGCTTCGAATCAGTTTAAAACGAAATCTACAGCCCAAAGAGTGAACCCCTGCCTTCCACTGACGTCACTTTTTCATTGTTGCCAGTAGAGACTTCGAGCTTGAAAAACACGGTGAGGACCAAAACTGTAAATTCAATAACTTCGCGAAAAAGCAATATTTTGACCTAATATTTGGGATACTATTTTTGCGATGTTTGTTGGTTAGTTTAGCAAAATTTCAAGCAAATCGGAGACAATGAAAAAATCGGTGGAGTAGCCCTTTAACAAGAGGCTAGGGTGCCTCAATGTCCTTCTGTTAAAGGGACACTCAAGCGGTTTTTGGAGAAGCTACTTTTTGGTGCGATGGTGTTAAGGAAGTGTCAGTGAATGAGTATCTTCAGTTTTAGAAGGCAGAAACGCCTATTAAGCATGCAGGAATAAAATACGTGCGGACTCTTTTCTGTACTTGCGAGGACCAATGAAATTATCGTATGTTTGAAAATTTTGGCGGTCTTTGTAAAGTTTCGCTAAAAAAACAATTTTCAGTTCATTTAAATATGTTGTGCATGATAATTTCACAAGACGTAAAATATTTCTAGTTTAGAATACGCGATAGCGCAATTATCGTTTCACAAACAAGGGACTACGTTTTCTTCCTGCCTTCCTCCGCGGGGGGTGAATTTTCCGTTCGACAGGGATGCGCGGAAGCGCACGTATCTCCGCGTGTTGCAGGCCGGTCGTGCCGGTCGCGGGCCGGCCGGCTCCTTCTATCCGCAAACGTGGCGTCAGTGGTGATCGTCGGAATGGACGGCCTGGTGAAAGCTCATCGTTCCGCGTAAAAGCGCTATCCTTGACTGTGAATTTTTGTCGTGTTTCGCTATGATAACCCAGCACGTACTAGAAGGGAAGATCCACCTACTCGTGCGGCGATGTCGTGGCGGCACTCTCAAGACGGCAGAAACGCCCGTGTCATCGTGTTTGTTTACTTCGACTACAGTGGTGCTTTCTAAGCATTTGTGTCCTCGAACATCGCCCGGATTTCTTATTTGGCGCATTTCATGCGTGTGCTCAAGTTCAAGGTATTACTGGCGCGTACCGTAGAAAGGATGCGAATTTTCACGCGTTTTCATCACCGGAGAAAAGTGATTAGTGTTAGCAATCCTGAACGCTCGCAACGTCTATCTGATCACGAAATCACATTTCTACGTTGCTATATCGCTGCTA